CTTTTATACACTGATTTATGCTGGGGTATTTACTGTTATAATACTGATTGGATATATTTTTAATATTTGATACACTATTTAGTTTTTTATATATTGGCACAGTTTACATTTTTATTACAGTGACTAGTGATTTGAAGTGCTGCACTATGTTTTGTCTATTAACGTTCCACTTTAACTAAGCTGCTCGGCATCATGGATATATTTTTTCAGCTTTTAGTAAACTTGACTTTATCTAAACATATGATATTAGCAATCTGAAATATCCACAGGTTATCCACATTTATGCATTTGTAGTTATTGAAGTCACATTTCAAATAATTAATGATTCACAGAACAATGATGTACTGTTAGTCTTTACAACCAATGGGACATACACAATGTAGCGGTTCACTGTTGTGATAATAGTGAAAACTGAGCACTAATGGGTTGTAAGCAATAGTAGAGGAAATGATTTCAAAACTGGAGACATTAAAATCACCAAATAAAAACAATAAACCCTTTAGTGTTCTACCTATAGTGTTACAGATTAGGCACAGTTCCTACTGAATTATAGGAATTGAGGACTTTTACCTAGTTTTGACCTGTTCACTTTAGCATTCTCAGACAACACATAGGTCCAAATTATTTTATTTTTTAACAAAAAAAAAGCCTAGAAAAAGCTAGAAACTGGAAACCTCATAAATGCTAAGGATTTTTGTAATTTATTTTCCCAATACAAATAGAAATGTAATGCAAACAGTTATTGGTCTTGGTTCTTCTTTAAATAATGACCCATGTGTCTGCATTGTGTTCTTCAGTAATAGATGCTCTCAGTAGCACAAGGTACCTGGAGCAAAACAAATTATTTTAAAATGGTCTGTCTTTACTGTATTTGTACTTTTAGAAAATGTGCTGAATAAGGTCTTCATTTTTATTTTTTCGTTTTCTGGTGGATAAAACCCTATTAGCAACATAAGAAAATGGACATTGTATATAGGCCAAAAGGCAATTAACTGTCATCAAATCGTTCTGTACTAGTTACAGCTACCACTTAAAAATATCACATAAACAAGCATCCCAATAAACTGGCAACAAACCAAGTAATAGCTGTCAGTGCTCTTCCTTACAATACTGTATGTGCAGCATCTTTGGCATAGCATTAGGAAAAAATGTTGACTGTTAATGAGTAGTAAAATGTTACACCCCTTAACAAATCCAGGACATAGCCAAGAGTAACAATGCAAAAGCATACTAAAAAGATCAAATTGGGGAGACTGAGATTCTGAAATGATAGTTTGTGCCGACTAAATTGAAATGTGATTATTTGGCTTGTTTTCATATCCTTTCACTAATAGCTAGCAGAAACTTGGCAGCTTGTCAGAAATAATGGTGTTTCCATCACACAAATATGTAATTGACTAGCACTCTTGCTTCCCATTCTATCCTTAATTCTGTAATACTGACAATGATGTGCTAGCCGCTTTTTTTTTACATTCTGCATCTTCTTTTGTTTACCTTGAAGGTTAAATCCAGCAAAATAACATTCATTTGCACCTATTTTTTGATTGTTGGAAACAGTCATCTGATGAGGCTCCAAGTGGATAACTAACGTTGCTTATTTGTAAAGGAAGGGGGAGCAGTTACTTATGCCTAGTTCACTATAGATGAATAGGAAATACATAAATAAATACATACACACTTGCCTATAAAGTCTGGCATATTTATAGCTTCAAAAGTGATAGAAAGCTGAACACAGCTGAAAGAGCTTGTAGGAAGCACTTCATATAAGACTCATGCTGCAAGGGAACACCCTTTAAAAAACTTGATTTCCCATGCAACTTTAATCCCCCATCCTCAGCAATCTTGCCTTTCTTTCACTACTCTACTGTTCAATTTATTCCCTAAAGCCAAATAAAATACCATGTACCTCTGGCTATGGCATATGACTCCTCCATTAAACAGTGTTGGGCCAATCAGTGCTGCCATAGGAGAGTCCATAGCTTCAAGCTACAACTCATTGTTTACACCAAGACTTACTTTTACGCCCAGGGGTTGAAAAGAGCAGTGAGGGGGTAAAAGAAAGGTATGCATATGCCACTGTGCATATCTAAATTCATGCTTATCTGAACCAAAAAACAAAGACATATTACAAGTGAGCATAGCTATCCTAGGAAAGGAAATATGCTATTTGCAGGATTATCCAGTGAAAATAAATTTAAAAAGCCTAAAGAAAAGAAAACGAATACAGCCACCACATCAAAGGAATGGCTCCAATGGATTTCTTTTTTCACAAGGTTTCATGGGGTTGTCATGCTCACTCGCACCAATGAATCTATGAAGGGAGCCATGAATGTCACCCAGGTAGGACTTCAAACATGTCCCTTTATCTCCACTATAGGGGCAGTTGGAATCAGATCAACTGAAAGGCTCAAAGGAAGTGACAAGGAGGCTGCATTTCTGGCAAGATAAATAGATATTTTCTGTACTTGCTGAGAATGTTCTTGGTTTAAAGAAAAAAAAAACTATTTCTATATATACTGATGTATAAACTGCAACATATTTAGATTTTAATATATATCTATTTAAGTTTAAAGCATGTCAATATAAGACAAAGGCAATAATAAAACGTAAAACTGCAATATATTTAATTTTTGTTCTTTTTCATTTTAAATAACAGAGGAATCCTGTTTATGGTGGTGGACAGAACTTATTTCGGTATGATTTGTCAGGCAGACAGCAGTCAGACACTGCTAACATCACATGAGGTGACCAAAGCCAGCTTATGACTATAGGCACTTTGTCTTTATTAACTATCAGATTTTTTTGAATGTATGGCTCTCAAAATGTGAATTGATCTTAATAAAAATAATTGATAGGGACAGTCTTTACCAATGACAACCAACACCATTTTATATTGCCAGAACCAGAAGCAGAAGCAGAGAGTGTGCTACCACACTTATCACAGGAGCTGTGTGACCATGGAAAATCTGTGAGAATCAGGTGTCTGAGGATTCCTGGAGTAGACCCTTCCACCGGGGTTGGCTGGCTGCTGGGATCAAGAAGCCCCAGAAGAGTCTCAGGAGAGTGGTGAGTGGTGGGCCTGAGATAAGAGGGTCCTCCCCTGCCTTGAGATTACCATGAGTAGGCATAAGGAAACATATACAGTAGGTGTGGAATTAGTGGAGGAAATGAGGTAATCCCAGGTGGCAGAAAGGGTTCACATGCACCAAGGGAAGTTTGGTGCTTGGATTTGAATGTACAGGAGTGGAAGAGGAGAGGGAAAGTAGAGAGAAAGCATAGCAAGGGATATATCTGCTTGTGATCTGCTTGATTGCTGTGGTATTACTTGGTAGTGTGATAGAACCAGTGTCTGCTAGGTGAAAAGGTTGGTAAAAAACCTGTGGTAAACAGGGCTACTATGAGGGAGCTGCTGTGAAAAAAAATTCTTCTAAGGGTCAAGGGCAGATGAATGGGAGGTGCAGCAAGAAGGCAGGTGTCTACTGTGGTGACTATTGAGAGCAGACTGACATCCAGGGTTAGTTAGCAAATATCCAAGGTACTCTATTTTGGATGCACTGGGTTAGTAGAAGCCCACTAGCATAAAGGATGAAAAAGAGACTCAGCTGCTTTCACAAATTGCAAAGACCAGGAAACACGGTAATGTTAATTTTAATATGGGTGACTTCAATTATCCTGATATTGATTGGGCAAATTGAGCTGCTCACTCAAGTAAGGATTGTCAGTTCCTGATCCTATTGCAGGACAATTTCATGCATCAAATAGTAGAAGCCCCTAATTATATAAATTATGTGTTGGATCTATTAAAATTGCCAAGCTAATTACAGATGTGTATATAAGAGACAACCTAGGTAATAGTAATCACAGTGTATTTATGTTGGTTTTAAGTTTAAGGAAGGAGAGGAAAGTTGGTGCCACAAGAACTCTAAATATCTAAAAGGCTAATTTCAACAAGTTGAGCTTTTTACTGTATGATATTATTTATGTTGATATTATTAATGTTGATGAAGAAGAACATGGAAGAAAAGTGTTAATGTTTTAAGCAAGTCATTAAACAATGACATCCACCAATGAATTCCACTCGTGAAGAAAATATAGAAGAACAAAAGTTAAACCTATGTGACTAAATGCTAGTGTAAACAATGAATAATTGAGAAAATGGCCTTTAAGAAATACAAAACAAAAGGATCATCCAAAGAATTTCAGAGTAAAAAGGAATACAATAAGAGTTTAATCAGGGAAGCTAAAATGGAAAAATACATTGCCACAGAAAGCAAAAAACCCCCAAAAAACTAAAAACATATTAATAGTAAAAAGGTAAGGACTATACCCATAGGCCCCATAAAACATGAACAAATGAAATAGGTCATAAATGACAGGGAGAAAACAAATATATTTGTTATTTTTATAAGACTGTTTAAAAAAAAATAACAATAATGTTAAAATGAAGCTCATAATCTCTTAGATGTGGTGGTTGCATTTGTTTTCTTTTTTATGCCTTGAGTCTGTAATTTTAAGCCAGTAAGTCTGTTATTTTTCAACTAACTATAGCTTCAATTAGTTATTTAAGTGCATCTAAATCTCTTCTAAGTCTAACACTGCTGTCTCACCAGACTGACAATATGGTCCAAAGGTGTCTGCTTTCATACTTCATCTAGAATGCAGACACCATAAGACAAGGAGTATGGGTGGTAAAATAAAGGAAAGAAACCTAAAAAAAAAAGAAAGCAAATGCAGCAACCATATCATTGTATTTGTATGCTGCATTATTTGTTTTTGGATTTAATACCGCTTTAATACCAATGTACTGAATGCACCTCGAGTGACAGAAATCAGGGGTTCAAAACAGACTGGAAAAAGTAAATGAGAATAAATCATCAGGTCCTATTGGCTTACACCTGCGGGTCCTCAGGTAGCTTAGTTTTCAAAGACACCTTACTGACTGGAATGGTACTAATTGATTGGTATAAAGCAACAATGGTACCAATAATCAAAAATGGGTCAAGATCAGGGGCGGACTGACCATTTGGAAACTCGGGCACTGCCCAAGGGCCTGGGGTCAGTAGGGGGCCCTGTGAGATACCCCTGGTACCTTTTTCATAGGATTTTTTGAGTTTGGGCAAGGACACAGAGGCCCCATGATCCCCTACTGCCCGGGGGCCACGAGTTGTCAGTCCACCCCTGGTCAAGATGTCCACTAGTGTTGATAAATGGTTCTTGTCATATGGTCTAAAGTTCTGAATGGTGTGCCTCACGGTTCTGTCTTAAAGCCTATACTGTTTTAACATGTTTTTTAACCTCTTCCTGTCCAGCCCATTTCGATAAACGGCCGGACAGGAGTGCTGCCGATGCGGGTGGACGTCTCTAAATTTTGCCCCGCATCCATTGCCTGTGTGGGCTCCCTGGGAAACAGCGGAACTCATATCGCTGTACGGGACCTCTCTGTGAGGTCTCTATTCATGTGAACACTGATTGGCCAATCAGTGATCACATGAATAGTAGTAAATAATCATTGCTTACTACTTGTGAAATCTGTGAATTATCACAGAGGCAACATGGTACAAGGCTATTCACACAACAGCCTTGTACCATGTGACAAGCTGTGACCATTCACAGCTCGCTCAGTATTGCTTAATGGCTGCAGGAATGCAGCCAGAGAAGGAGCAATTATTGCTTTTACAGTCTTTATGGGTGTAAAAGCAATCAGTGTAAAAAAAGAAAAAAAATATTCATCACCCCCTACAAGTAGTAGAGTGTCAATATGGTGACACTGTACTGCTAGGGTGACAGTATGTTTAAAAAAAAACCCACATAAATAATAATATAAAAAAAATTAAATAAAAATGTAAAAACACATTTTGAAAAATTATAATTTTTGGTTATAAACTAATTTGGGTTTTAATTTTTTTTTAAAAAGATAGATGAATAAATTTTGGCCAAGATTTATGAAGAAAGATTATTTATTTGCAAAATGTCATAAGAAAAACACTTTTTAAAAAAAAAATTTTTGAACTTTTTCATTTATATAGAAAAAAAAGTTAAAATCCCAGTGGTGAATAAATACCACCAAAATAAAGTTTTATCTGTCTCAAAAAAAAATTCATTTGGGTGCAGTGTTGCATGACCGTGCAATTGTCATTCAAAGTGAAAGCTGAAAATTGGCCTGGACTGGAAGGGGGTGAAAGTGTCCGGACTTGAAGTGGTTAATTATATTGAGTTTGGTGAATTAACCTCCCTAGCAGTCTGATTATATCAGTATTTCTGTGCTCAAAACGGTACATTTTTTTGCATGGAAATATGTTGTTTTTTTATTGTAGGCCTGTAATTCTTAGGAATAACTCCGAACAAGAGTCTTATAAACATCCCGGTATGATAACATTTGAAACACGAAATCATAAATTATAATATAATAAATAATCATAAAAAATAACAATATAATAATAAATTTAATTCAATAATGTAATCAAACTAAATTGCAAGCAGGGCACAGGACAAAGCACTAGGGACAAAATGTATGTGAAATGGTTGGATACAGTAATGTTTTACTATGTGATTTTAGTGTATTTTGAACGTGTATTTTGAAAACTTTCCCCGCCGTTCCGTCCCCGACGCTCGCAGGGAACGGAACCTGGAATCGGCCGGAGGAGATGGCTGGGGACACCTCAGGGGGACATTGCGGGAGCACAGGACAAGGTAAGTGATGGAGGGTATCCCTGAGCAATGCTGCAGGGTAATCCCTAGTGTAGCTCGGGGTTACCGCTTGTGGTACTGAAACTTTACCCCAAGCTACACTCGGGAATACCGCCAGGGAGGTTAAGAGTTCAATTTTGTTGTTTGCTGATGATGCCATGCTATGCAAGGCAATATATTCGGCAAAGGGTATAGCAACATTACAGGAGGACCATCATAGAACTAAGGGATAGGCAGCCGCATAGCAGATAAGGTTCATTATAGAAAAATCTAAAGGGGCTTCTTCGGGCAATCAGAGATGGAAAAGATTTTGGGATCCTTGAGAATCACAGGCTCAGCAGTAGCATGCAATGCCAAGCTGAAGCTAGCAAAGCGAGCTGAATGCTGTCATGCAATAAAATATACAAGGGATAAATCAATAGTTCTACCCTTTTACAAGACACTGGTCCCTATTGCTGGGTATGATGCCACTTGCAGAGAAGGGTGTGGAAATGCATGTAATTTGCATGCTTTACCACATCCACTGGCACCTGCAGGCAAACCACGCTGCTATTTGGCAGACACACGAGGCTACCATTAATTCTTAATGGCACTTCACACATCTGAAAATGCAACACATTTTCTGATGCATGGTACTCAGGCCTCTAGCAATTTCTGTGCAACTATGATTTTAAAAAGATGTAGGGACCTTTTTCCAGCATTTCCTGAAGGTACAGCAGTCCATTCAAATCAATGGGGTGTTGTGCCCACGCAAATATGAGCCACAGCAATTGCATAGGTGTGGACCTAGCCTAAGTCATGCGCATAGTGTCTGCAAGTATGAGGCTTAATCAATCAACTAATGACTAACAATACAATTGCGGTACAATTCTAATGACTGACAGTCTAGTCCAATTGGTGGTGAAAATTAGTCCTATGCAGTAAATATATACCTTTTGTTATAGTATATATTATAAGTAAGCTCTTATGGGTCGCTCTTAGGTTGCACACTTGATTGATTGCACTGTATGACCGCTATTTGCAGTTGTATAAAATCAAGCATGGCACATATTTCTACAAACAGTGTTTCTTAGGATTGTGGAACATAAAGCAATTGTTCAGGAATTTGGGCAAGGGAAGGAATCTTATCACTGGATGTTGTAGATGATCACGGTGATACTGATTGTGATACACATGCACAACAATATCATTTGCATCTAAGGATAATGCACTATGTTTAGTTTATTTGCTTCGCGACCCAGTACTATGAATAGAAGAGGACGTATTGGTTTGATGAACACAAAGAATTGATGGAGCACTAAGTACTGGTGGACTATGTGAAGATTTATTAGGGTGCATGGATTTCTATTGAAAAAGCAATTTCTATTGAACATTGGGGTATTTGGTTTATATCCACGGTGACCGACACTGTTTATATTCAGGGTGACCGGAAAAGGTTTATATTTATTGTCTACTTCCAGGGTGGAAGGATATACTGTACGGTCAAAGGGACTTTATCTTTCGTAGGTGGGTGTGGTTTATTCTACATTGAAACAAGTTTGCACACAATAATAGACCAGAATAAGTCATCATGCCTCACAGTCTGATGAGAAGTTGAAGAAAGTGTATGCTTAAGGTCATTCATTGCCAGTAAAGGAGGTTCCACATTTAACAAATACAAGGTTTTGCATGGTTTTTCTGTTAATTACCTAGACTGTTCAAAAACGACATGGCAATGTAAAATGTGTTTGCTGCTTGAAAAATAAGTATATCTTTATTTAATAGTATGAACTCTATGACGATTTGACCACACTGAGAGCAATTAATGCAGAACTTCAAATGATTTCTAAAATGTGAAATCTTTCTACAAGGTATATATCAAAATGTGAACATTCTTCCTGCTTATTGATTATATATTTCAGATAATTTGCCAGGAATCCAATATGTTGTAGTTTATGATGTTTACATATTTAATTTGTCTGTAATGTTTATTCACAAATACACAGAGGTAATGAAGTTATTGTCTTAAAGAAAACCCATGCAGGCAAAGTAACAGATTCACTTTACTGCTTCCATTCCCAAGAAAGTGCTTGAGCCTAGCTACTGCCAACTTTTGTTTTTATGAGGCTGCAGCAGCAGACTGGGGTTGCAGTATAGCTGGCAAGGTGGTCACAGTCATCTAATAGTGTACGCTGTACAGCAGTTAAATTGCTTAAAGATGATGACGGAATTCCTTGTATATAAAAGATTCATGAAAGTCATGTTTTACTACACATTTTGATACTTTTGAATAATAATTCGACACTGTATGAAAAAAAATAACATCTCAGAGCCACAGTCATGTGAAGGTTATATTGAATGGGTTAAACATATTTATCCCTGAATGCTAATGTAGCAATAAGGTTCACATTTGAGATGTGCTCTGAACATTTTATATTGATATATGAAATCTTTTGGTTGCCAAATTGCTCATCATCACCTATTAGGCACTAAATGATATGTTCTAGATTTCTCTATTTTGCCCATATCTAGAGTATAGGTAACTACTTTATAGTACAAAATAGAATTTAATCATCACCTTTTTCGTCTGCAAATTTCATTAATAATTCTAAAGGATCGGCACCAGAAGACAGCACAAATATCAATGGTGTATTAAAGGTAGAGCCCTTGTAACTATGCTGCAGGTCAAAGGTTGGAGGATCTATATAAGTGGGACCCATCTTATCAGTCACAAATTGCTGGACTGCAGAATAATCTATAAAGAACAGAAAAAATGCATTATTTATTATGTATAACAAACACATGCATCATTTACTTAAAGCAGGCATTTGCATGAAAGAAACAATATTCTAACAGCATTAACTAACATGCTTCATCAATTTGTAAAGTAGATGACATGAGAAAAAACAAACACATAACCCATCTTTACTTTGCTGAGTTGTGACCCTTACTGTATGTTCCTGAGTAGAAATCAGTTGACCTGTTGAAAATACAGCCATCAATTCCTAGTCTCAATTCCCAGTCTTTAAGTAGTTTCACATTATTTATGAAATGTGAAACTACTTAAATATGACAGCTCCAGAATACACAGTGGTACCAGCAATTGTAATGCATAATGGTATTGGAATGAAACTTGATACTATTAGCGGTAAGTGTGATAATGCAAAGATAATGCAAAGACCCCCCCCCCCCCCCCAAAAAAAAATCTCTCCATGCAAAAAGATATAGTAAGTACTCAAACAACCTGCTTCTCACACCAGCTGATGCTACTCTGAGAAATCTCTGCTGAAGTCTCTTCAGAAACTTACACATCTAGCAGTGTCAATCTACTGGTCCCCTGCTGTGTTGACTTCTACATCATTTCTGGATACAGTGTTTGCAGAAGGAGAAGAGGCAAGTCCTTGAAACGCGTTAGCCTGCTGGATGTCCATTTATCCTGTGATGGGATATGATTTTTTGTGGATTTGATGGTGCTGTTGTTAATGATGAGCCTTTCTCTCACTCATCTTTTGTGAGTACATTACTTAC